TCTTGGCCACCTGGGCACACTGCTGGCTCATGTTCAGGCGGCTGTCAACCAACACTCCCAGGTCCTTTTCTGCCAGGCAGCTCTCCAGCCACTCCTCCCCAAGCCTGTAGCGTTGCATGAGGTTGTTGTGACCCAAGTGCAGGACCCAGCACTGAGCCCTGTTGAATCTCATGCAGTTGGCCCCGGCCCATGGATCCAGCCTGTCCAGGTCCCTCTGTAGGGCCTTCCCACCCTCCAGCAGATCAACACTCCCACTCAACTTGGTGTCATCTGCAAACTTACTGAGGGTGCACTCAATCCCCTCATCCAGATCATCAGTGAAGATATTGAACAGGACTGGCCCCAACACTGAGCCCTGGGGAACACCACTCGTGACCGGCCGCCAACTGGATTTGACTCCATTCACCATACTAGTTACCAAATAGTAACTAACTTCAGATTTGTCTTTGCACTACCCTACAGATCCAAAAGTGGGTGGAAAAACTGAGAGGGATGGGGAATATAGGCATCTAATTGCTCCTTTCTGAGACCCATGTAATGCACGGGGAAAGGTCTGTTGGTATGCCTCTCCTAAGAGAGCAAGGGTTGTGACCCAAGTTGGAAGGGCCTTCTGCAGACGGTATGGGCAGAGATGTGAAAGCAACGAGATGCTTCTGTCTTTGCTTAGGAGCTTTGCTGATACTGTTAGCCTCATGTTAGAACAGGCAAAGAAATTGGTCAGGACTCTTGTTTAATTTGTCTATGAAACTGGTATTTATTCAGCAGCTGGGCAAGCATCCAAAGCGAGGATGAACTAATTTGAAAGGCATTCTCTTCCCTCAGTGGGCCAACACAGGGCTTCAGTGAAGGATCATCTCCAGGTGTTTTAAAGGGAGCAGAAAAAAGAAAAAAAGTCTCAGTAGCTCCTGTATTTTTCCAGGGTATTTTGGCTTGTGTAGAGTCAGGAAAATAAAAGCAAGAGAGTCTGATGCCATGATTTCCCCCTTAGAAAGCAGCTGACGCAAGTTGAACCAGCTACTCTTTGCCTGCTCAGAGCAGCTGGGACTGTGTTTTCCTGGAGTTGCTGCAAGATAAAGGAGAGAAAGAGAGGAGCTGGGGAGAGGGGCTGAAGAGAGACCGTCTAGTCGGGAGAAGGACGTACTCTGTTTCCCATTACACGTGTCCTTTGAAACCAGTTCTTGAAAATCTGAGTGCCCGATTCAGATGAGCTGTGATGCTGTGTATGTCAAGCTGAAATTGTCACCAACAAATAGGTGAATGAAATTTTCAGAGGGGCCTGTTAGGCAGAGTAAATGAGATGAGTTAGCAGTTAAATTATTGTGAGATTAAAAAAAAAAAAAATCTAGAAAGTACTTTTATTTTTAAACAGCCATCCCAAGCATTTCTAATTTGTTTTTCAACCAGGTGAGGATGATGGAAGAGATCAGTCAAAACTTGAAACAAAAGTTTGGGAAGCCTTTAACCCGCTAGTAGACAAGCAGATAGACCAGTTCCTGGTGGTAGCACGGTAAGAGCATTTTACCACTCCTTTGAATAAGTAAATGTTGTTAACTCTTCTGAGCACTTTTGATGTTCTTTTTGCTTTACTAGTATGAATACTGGTTTTCGTTGCTTGATTCACTTGCTCCATTTTGAAATGATGAACATTTTACATGCGTTCCTGGGAACTGCATGACTTTAGGAACAGCTACTCAGATTTACAACTTAGTTAATCACTTTCATAAAAGAAAAGCAAATGGCATGTAAAAACTATCCTGTAATTGGTGGGGTTTTTCAAGTACTTTGGCCAGCATGCAGAAGGCTTAGTGAAGTAAATTCTTGACAGTTCATTACTCTGTCCATTTTCTCCCTTTTTTCAAATCCAGTGACATTTTAACATCCGTTAATAGTTTACTAAGAAGTCTGGTAAAGTGTTTTTGATGGAGCGTGGATGCTTTCTAATGCCTAGATCCAATAGGTACGCACAATAAAGTAAAAGCCTGCAAACCTCTACAGGTGGTGTAATGTGTGCTTTTATTTAAGCCCAAAGCAATCTTTGATCAACTTCTCCTTTTTAAAATGTTCTTGAACTTTTTCATGGGTATGCATTTATATGAACAGATGTCTATACTAAATTTTAGGCTCTCATAGTAACTGGTGACTGAATAATTTGGAAAAAAAAAGAAAAAGGTAACACGCCAAATTCTGTGTCTTTTAGGTAAGTTTGTAGGACTGTGTGGGAGGAAGGCGGTGTGAGTAGATGGATAGTTGGACCTTTTGATGTTTCTAGTGGGCGGAGCAAGTTATCATTGGATATGCTTAGGAAAGGGGTGTGTAAAGTTACCAGCTGCTCGTAGTATCTGGTTTGCTCGTCTTGAGAGTTCTGCTCATTGACCATGGTATCTGATAGACGTGGACCCTCACTCACAGGGCTGCCTGCTTCAGCCAAGGGCTTTAGCCCTGGAGAACAGAGTTAAGCCTATATTTCAGATACTCTGTCAAATTGGGCCCTGGTTCTGTCAGCCTTTTGGTTCTTGTTTTTTTCCCCCCTCTTGAGTTATCATGTTTTGAATTTCCTCCTGAACTTCCCTGAGTGTGGCATTTGTGAATTCATGGGATGCTCACTAGAGCGGCAGAGCTAGAGCTTGTGTGTAAGAATCTGTCTGGACAGGGACCTGCAGTTCTGATGGAAGCTGCTGGATAATGCAGCGAGGGTGCATTTTTATTTAACAGCAGTAAATGTGTTCAACATGCTGAGTGATGCAAGCTCAGAGAAATACTGGGGGGGGGGGGAAGAATTGAGGTAAATGAAGGAGATGGTGAAATGCAATGTTTTAAGTACTCAAGATGAGAAGTGTGTATACTTAGATATACACACCCAAATTGATTTTTTTATGTTCTTTGAAGGCGAAACTTGCCGTTATTATGAACTTTGGCCAAAATTTTAAAAAATGGCTAATCTGAATTGCAGCACTTAAACCTTTGCATGGCTGCTTAGGCCTTGTGTGTGAGTCCAGTAACAGGGAGCCAAGAGTGAAACTAGGTTGGTTAAGATTAAAAATGTTAACTGCAGTCCAGATTGAAGAAAATCCCACAGTTCAGAATCCATTAATACATTTTTGCCTTTGGCTAAACATGTGCTGTTTGTGGTATAGACTTTTTAAAAAGTTCGTGAAGTTCATAATGTTCTGGCTAGACTAAAGGATTACCATAAAATTTAGGCTCTTGAAATTTCATTGTGCTGCTTACACGATATATTACTGTTTCCCTTGACCTGTGCCAACAGTAAAGTCAAACTGGCTGGATTAAGTGATTTATGTGCAACAGATTAATTCTACTTGATCAGATGGACACAGGGAAATGGATAAAAGTAGGGAGAGGATAGTCTTCACCAGTGATGTGGAACGAACAGATGAAGGAGCGATGGGGAGAGCTGGGATATCTCCAGCAAAGGGTATTTCTGCTTCTTATGGAACCCTTCTTGACAAGGTTGCGGTTTCACAGTTGCTTCTAATCAAGTGAAGTACAGGACAGCACCGAAAAGCTAAGGATTGATTCAGGTTGCCGCTCGGCCACACGGTGCTCTGGTGTCGGTGTCAGGAAGACCTGTCAGGAAGCGAGAGGGTAGAAGTACCCCGGCGGATGGGGGTTTGCACGTGGGTTGCTTTAGAGTGACCGCAGAGCTGCTCTGTGATGGGGGTTTCCACCTTGCGTAGGCTTTTGGTGGCAAAGCTAGTTTTAGTAATGCTTTCTGGCTGGTTGCTGCTACCCACTGGGTTTGCCGATACAGCTGCTTGAGCGTACGTGCCGTAACGAGAATCACTGAAAATATCAGTATAAAAATCGCTTCAGTCTGGAATCAGCAAAGTGATCCAGTTTATAGTTAGATGCCACACACAGGGGAAAAAAAAGTATCAGTTCAGCTAAAGCTGGGGACGGGGGAGTTGTGAAACAGGGATGGAGGTAGTGACTGGGAGGCTGGGGAGAGGGCGAAGTGAGAATTGCCACAGAAACTTGGGTGGGGGAGGCTGTTTTGGATTTTGGCCAAAATTAGATATTTGATGACAACTACTGCTTACGCATTTACCTTTCCTACTCCTTCACTGCTTGGCATTAGTTTGTTCCTCTGTGCACTCAACTAGTTTGGGGAAGTGATCTGAGTGGAGGAAAAAAAAAACCTACCTTTTTTTGTTGTTGTAGTTGCTCAGAGGAATTTAGCTCCAGTTCACTGTGCAGGAGTACGAGTGTTTCACCCATGTGGTCTAGCAAGCAGTAAGGAGAGTAGGAATAACTAGAACCGATGTTCCTGTTTAAAGGTTTCTCTGACTAACTTCTTTAGGGATAAAATGAGGAGCACGGGGATTGTGGTCCCACAAGCAGGCATGGCTGGTGTTGGGAAGTATTCAAGAATTGCTGTATTCTTATGCAGGCTATATTATATGTATGTTATACTATATTATGTTGTAAAATAAAGATTGGTTTTAATTTTCCTGAAACTTTTAGAAAATATGCTTGCATTACTGCCTTTTTTTTTTTTCCCTTCTGTCTGGTCTTGTCATCTTTGTACCTTTGGACAATGCAGTGCTGCTCTTGCCTTTGTGGAAGAGCTTTTTGCCATTCATAAAACTCACTTGTGCTCAGTTTCTGTTAAAGCTTAATTCTGTTGAGAGATAGGGGATAAGAGAGTAGTTCAAAACTCCCCGTTTGTGATCCTTGAGTCTTTCACTGTTTTCCCTCCTACGCCTAAGCCTCTTTGGACAGATGAACTAAGTAGAGTAAAGCGTTCATAATAACAAACCACATCTGAAGGAGACCGGTCTCTGGCTTAGAACTAGTGCCAAACCATGTAATCTTGTTACTGAGAAATGGAGTCTGCTGATCTCAAAGTGTTGGTTGGGTGTTTATATTTATGCTTGTTTTGCATGCAAAGTTAATGCTCTGTTTAATTTCTTTCAGATCTGTTGGTACATTTGCCCGTGCTCTAGATTGCAGTAGTTCTGTCAGACAGCCAAGTTTGCACATGAGTGCTGCAGCAGCCTCTAGGGACATCACGCTGGTAAGATTTTTAAGAGGACCTTAAGTTTTTGAGAGATGGAAAATATTCACCTCAGCAATAACAGTTGGCAAAGAGAGAGGGGCAGATGGATTGTAATTGTGGCCTGCTGTGAAGCAGATCCTGTCTTTGTAAAGGAACCCTTTATTTACATATGAAGTAACTTATTCTGGCCTTGTGCCTCTTATGATCCATGATGGATAATTCTATGAGGGTGTTTTGGTGTTTTGTTTTGTTTTTTTTTTTTATTTTTATTAAAATGTTTTGATGACATGCTTCACAGCCCATCTCTTGCATGGGCTTAGTAGCTGTCTTGAGAAGAATGCAAATGATTATCTGCCTGTCTGCAATGTTATAATGCCAGAATGCCACTCCTCGTTGCTTCCCCAACACCAGACTGTCACAGGCATCCTTGGGCAAGATCGCCTAGGGGAAAAGCTTGTGGTCAGATAAGAAATCCAGTTCTTCTCTTTGACAAGCTCCACTTTAGAGTACCTGAGGAGTGGTGACATTGTTAATATTTTATAATCATAAATGATTCTGAGTAGATAGAGGAAAGGGAAAACTTGAACTCCTATGCTAGAGAAAGTTTAATGAAAATTTGAATAAAATTTATGAAGTCTCTAGAGAACTGTTATCAAAGCCTCACCTCATAACTGGAATAATGTGAAATCATACAGGACAAATTCTAGGATAGAACACTGTAGATTAGTTATGCACATGCACAAAACTGGTATGATGAAAGGCAAATAACACCCTGATTAAAACTACAGAAATCAGGAAATAAAGCCAAGCTTTCATTTACTAATACCAATTCCTCCCTCGCAACATGTTCTCAGCCCTTGTAAATCACAAGTTGCAGACAGTTGTAGCGCAGCTTTCTGAGGAGTAATTGCTCCTGGGAGTAATTCTTTTTTCCTACTCAGCTATGATATGTGACTTGACTTGAATCTTTTTTGGGGATTTCTGGCCTTTGGGGGAACTGCATGCATGTGTTGCTGCTCTTAAATATTTTTCTTCTATGCAATTTTTGTGGATTATTTGAAAAAGAAAGTACATTGCTAAGTTTATTAGAAAATATGCCCTTGGACCTCTATCTTCATGCCCCATCTGTGGATGGTACCTAACAGGGCTGCTCAGTCCTGGGGTGAGTGGGGCTCTATCCTGTGCATTTTCTTAACAGTAGTGCTACGGTGGTGGTGCTGGTGAGTAGCTAAGTAGGAATTACTGATATGCAAGGGCTTGTGTTCCACAAACCCCACTATTGTTAGTGAACGTTACACTTGTATGCTGGCAATTACAGCGAGTCTGAGGTTGGAATAAGTTTTTACTGACTTTGTGTTAGGTATAGAATACGACGCCCTCAAACCTTGGTGCAGAATTTTTGTTATTGGTGTTTCACTGTTAGGCATTTTTTCCCACCCAGATGCTTGTTCTTACATTTATCTTTCTCTTTTACGACCATGTAGTTCCATGCTATGGACACTTTGCACAAAAATGTCTATGACATTTCCAAGGCAATCTCTGCGCTTGTGCCACAAGGTGGGCCGGTTCTGTGCAGAGATGAGATGGAGGAGTGGTCTGCTTCAGAGGCAAACCTCTTTGAGGAAGCACTAGAAAAATATGGAAAAGATTTCACTGACATTCAGCAAGATTTTGTAAGTATATAAAATGAGGGCCCACGTGGTGACCAGTTCTAATCAATAGCAGAGCTGGTTTACAGCTTGTCTGAACTGTGTTGTTTTTCTTCACATTGAAGAAGAGGGCTTTGAACTGGACCATGTGTCTTGCTCTAAACTGGGGAAGGGCAGACCTCAATCTGATGACAGCCTGTTGTACAGTCAGAATTTTAAATCACGGATGATAGCTTTTCCTTTAGAGACGTTAATTTAAAATCATCTGCTCCACTACAGCTGAGGGAGGATTTAGGAAAGTGTTGTGACAGCCTAGCTGCTGTAGATTAATTTGCGTTTGAAGGAGAATAAGTACTGGGCCTTCTGAAACATGAAAATTTAGTCACTTTTATAATGCGTTCTCAGAAAGGGCCTTCTGAAAGTTTTAAAAAGGCATCTTGGGCATCCAAGGGAAGTATCCTGTAGTGTGGCCAAAGCTCCACCCTAGGTGCTCCGCCTGCAGATTGAATGGAGCACTGTAAAGAGAGCCAAGTTGCACTGTATTGCTGTACGAGTCCTCTGGAACAAAAGAAGTCGTTTCAGTGTTGCTTGTCCCATGCTCTAAGCTTTTAGACAGAGGGACTTGGAAACAGCACAACACTCTGTGGTCCTGCTG